ACATGATTGTCATCAGATCTTTCGACGTGAACAAGCCGGGAGCGGAGGTGGACGAAATCAAGGGCGGAGTGGCTGGCGGGAGTATTCTCAGGGTACGTGTAAAATCTAAAACTTGCAGCTGCAACTACTCACTCGTTTTCGCGTTTCCTCGTCCAGGGTGTTCTAAAGCTGGGACAGAAGGTGGAAGTCCGTCCCGGGATCGTGGCAAAGGATGACAAAGGAAACATCAAATGCACACCGATCTTCTCCCGAATCGTCTCGCTCTTTGCGGAGCAGAACGAGCTCCAGTTCGCGGTGCCTGGAGGCCTCATCGGTGTCGGCACGACGATCGATCCGACGCTCACTCGGGCTGACAGACTCGTCGGTCAGGTGCTTGGAGAAGTGGGAGCTCTTCCGGACGTGTTTGTAGAGCTCGAGGTACTCGCTTTTGCTTTACTTTGAGAGGAGGGGAGCTAAGCTAGTCTAAACTTTCAGGTGAACTTCTTTCTATTGCGTCGGCTCCTGGGAGTAAGAACTAAAGGGTCGGAGAAGCAAGAGAAGGTCTCCAAGCTCGCCAAAGGAGAGATGTTGATGCTCAACATCGGATCAATGTCGACGGGAGCTCGCGTCCTGGCCGTGAAGAACGATCTGGCCAAGCTCCAACTCACGTCCCCGGTTTGCACGAGCAAAGGCGAGAAAGTGGCATTGAGCCGGAGAGTGGAGAAGCACTGGCGTTTGATCGGCTGGGGACAAATCCAAGCCGGCATGACCATCGACATCCCTGCGGTATCAGTTTAACGGAAAAAAATAAGTCAAAAGAGATTAAATGAGAGAGTTTCCTTTAAATATTTTTGTCAATGAGTGTTCAACGAATATTCCAACAAACTCCTTTATTTTTTCTCTCACGCAAGCTTCTTATGCACGCTTGCCGAGTAGGGCGGTTCTTTCCCGCCATGTTGCTTCATTTCCCTCGCTTAGCTCTCTAGGGTTCTTCGTTGTGGCGTCTCCTAGCTAGATCCGGGGCTGGAATTTCCAGGTGCCGCTAGGACGGCAGTAGGGTAGAATGCCGGGCGAGGAACAAGCGCGATCGAGTGCTGGCGCTGCCGCTGCTTCCCCTGCCGTTGCGTCTAATGGCAACGGCGCGGCACTGGACGGCGAGGCTCGATTCAGGGAGTTCTGCGAGGTCTGAATTGCTTGGATTTGCCGTTTAGATTGTTGAATTCTTCCATTCTCCTGGGAATCTGGCAGACAAGCCTGTCCCTGGACGAGATTTCTCTGGAGAAGGCGCTAAGGCTGTATGGTTTGGTCGCTCCACTGCGGGATTCGTCACTGCTCGGTGGCTCGGTAACACACTTTCCTCTTTTTTAATGTTATATTAACGTTTTCCTTTTAGGTCGATGAGGCCGAGCGTATATGGATGGCGGGAATTCTTTACGTCGTGAAGAAGCTGGATAGAAGAGAGGTTCCTATCTTCACACTTACGCAAGTTCTTCGTGTGACCAACCTGAGGTGCGTCTCCTTATTTTTTTTTTCTTTTCCTTTCGTTCCTAACATGACAATGAACAGTGTTGTGGAATTTTTCCGGGAGATCACACAGTTCTTAAAGAAATGTGCGCCAACCTTGAAGAGCGTTTACGGGGCAGAATTCCAAGGCGATCTTCAGGTATACAGTTTCTCTTCTACTGGCGTATTGATTGCTTTGTACCTTCTGTCAGGCTAAGGAAGACCAGGCAACTTTTGTGCACCTGATGGTTCTGTTCAAGTGAGCGATGATTCGTATGGTTTTAAGTTCCTGGTTCTGACGATTTGTCTGCAGCTATTATAAGAGGACCTTTCCACAATATTTTGAGCCCGCGGAGTCTGAAAGCGATGAAATAAGCATCCATCAGAGGTTTGGATGGTTTCTCTTTCTGGCTGCTAGGGTTCACGTTCTTGGTCGGTTTCCTGACCTTGTAACATGTACGAACGCACTCCTGGGTGTCGTGGTAAGCCATTCTGGCAATGTTGGATCTTCGTCATCTGACTTTCTCACAAACAGGCCGTCATGATCGTTCATATGCCATCATCCTTGAGATCTTATTCTCTGGAGAACAAGTCTCTATTTCGTACGTTTTGTTCGTGCCTTTATTCGCACCAAATTGACTGATCTCGTTTCCAGCGAAAAGAGATGCGGATGGTGTGAAACTTATATCCTCTCTCTGCAGTGTGGGAGAGGCCGATGAAAAAGATGTTATGTCCGTGCTGAAGAATATACAAGACATGATTTCCAGCATTTTTCCGAACTTACCTAGTACGAGTGACTGCAGTTCTGTCAGCAATTTGCAAGGTTTCAGTTCTGGTAATATATCTGAACTGAGGTTCCGGTTTTGATCATCTTTTTTTTCCAGATGGTCTCGTCTACTTTGAAGGACTGATGGAAGATAATATGATTGCTGCAAATTTGCTAACATTGGAGAAACAATATGAATCCAGTGGAGAGGAAGGATACGAGCTCTTTGCAGAGCCTAGCCTTACTCTGTTGGTACGTTATTCGTTTTTCTAAATGAAAACTTTTGACACCTTTCTGCTTACAGCACCGGGAGAAAGATGCTCAAGTGTCTTCTTTGCAACAAACTTTGTCTTCGACGTCCTCACCACGCTCTTCACTGGCTATGATTACGGCAGCTAAGATGCCACCACCAACACCTGTCAGCGTAACAATGACAACAGCAAAGTGGTTACGAACTGTTATAGCACCATTGCCTTCAGAGCCAAGCACAGAGTTATTGGAGTATCTTAGATCCTGTGACCGGGACATAACGGAGGAGGTGACACACAGGGCTAAGGTTATACTTGAGGCAATATTTCCCATCTATTCTCCTGGTAGCTGGAAAGCCACTCTCCATAGCAGTGGAAGTTTGGAATGGGCAGTGCAGAGAAGGTCCGAGGCTTCCAAGCTTTACTACAGAGTTTTAACTGCACTCTGCCACGCCGAGTCTTTGAGGCTGCAAAGTAAGAATTTGACGTCCGTGTTGACAAGCGAGAAGTTCCATCGGTGTATGCTGGCTTGCTCGGGGGAGTTGGTCCTAGCGACTCACAAGACGGTTATTCTGTCGTTTCCTGCTGTTCTAGGACCGACTGGGATAACCGCATTCGACATGAGCAAAGTGATAGAGTCTTTCGTCAGACACGAAGAAACTCTGCCAAGGGAACTCAAGCGGCACTTAAATTCCATTGAAGAGCGACTTCTGGAAAGCATGGCTTGGGAGAAGGGCTCGTCGATGTACAACTCACTTATTGTCGCACGGCCAAGGTTTGGAGACGAAATAAGGCGCCTAGAACTTATGGCTGAGCCAATGCCATCGTTGGAGACATTGTCTTCACGACAGGAGTCCAAAGGAGAAGATATGCCTGGTGAGTTCTATTTACTTCGCCGAATTCATGTTAACTTTATTGTTTCCAGATGCAAATTCTCCAGATAGAGAGCCGTTGTTGTCCGGGGAGCAAACACTAACTTGTCTACCATCCCCGGTCAAGGAAAGGCCGTCTGCATTTTCAGCTTTCAACTCAGGTTCGGGAAAACGGAACCTTTTCCATCTTCAATCTGTATTTGCAAGGTACATGAAAGGACTTCTTTTTGGACGTTGTACTGACAATTCCTCCTTCAGTCCTCAGAAACCGAATCCTCATGCTTCTGGAGAAACGTGTGCAGAAGCCGTGATGAACGTGTTTTTTCAAAAGGTACAAACATTAGCATTTGGTTTTGACTGGGTGTTTCGGCCCGCAGGTGTTGAAGCTCGCTGCTAGCCGAATCAAAGTTCTATGTGAACGTCTTTCACAGCCTAGTCATGTGGTTGAGCAAATCTTCCAGGTCTTCGAGTATGCACTGAACCGGACTACCATCTTCTTCAACCGGCATATTGATCAAATAATATTGTGTAGCATGTATGGCGTATGCAAGGTTAGTATTGTTGTCAGCATGTGTTTCTTCTCATGCGTATAAGTGCAGGTTATGAAGCTCAACGTGACATTCAGGGACATCATTTTCCAATATCGGAAACAGCCTCAAAGCAGAAACCATGTTTTCAGGAATGTCTATCTTGAACAGCGGCGTGGGGTAAATAGATTTATTGGGTTCGTGTGCGTTAAACTGTTTGCTGTTTGTGTTTGACAGAGAACAGACATGGGGGATATCATCAAATTTTACAATGAAATCTATGTTCCTGCAACGAAGGCCTTTTTAATGAACATCGCTGCACGACCCGCATCCATGGTGGCAGGCAAAGGCACTGCGACAGACGAAGGTAGTTTGTGAATTTGCGTCTTCGTAATTTCTGAGCTCTGGTTTTCTGATACGTAGCACCCAGCTCTCCCCCGAGGGCATCTATGTTCCCAGCGATTCCCGATATGTCTCCGAGAAAAGTATCTGCCAGGCACAACGTCTTTGTCTCACCTCTTCGAAACACCAAGGTCTGAGTTGGGTCTTTTTGCATTTTTCATTGTAACTAATGATCGATTTCCATCAACAGGTTGAAAACATCATGTCTCCTCATTCCAGAAGCTTGTATGCGTGCGTGGGTGAAAGCACTCACGCTTATCAAAGCCCCTCCAAGGACCTTACCGTCATCAACTGTCGCCTAAATCTATCAAACGGGTAAGTAGCTCACATCGATTTGGTTGGCCCTTGTAACTTCATCGTTCCCCGCAGGCGAAGGCTTGAGTTTCAAGAGCCCTCACTAATGAGCGACTCGTTTGTCACCGGGGCGTTAAGCAACACCAACACCGATGCAGCGAACAACGATGACTCCCCACCGAGCAACGATGCCACGCTCGACCAGGACGCAACGAATGGCGACCAAAATATCCTTCCATCCGACCCTCAGTCTCCCGCGCCTAAGCGTCCGAAGCTAGAGTAGTCGTCTTGTAATGTTTCGAAAGGCTCTCTTCAGAGGTAAAAAAAACTCTTTCCTTTTCGCTTCTAAGCGGGTCTTCTTTTCTCTCAGGTGTACAATACTCGAAACAGAAACTCGTGACTCCCATAAGGATGGAGCGGAGTAAAATAATACACGAGGAACGGCGAACATTAGAAAAGGCGACATCTTTGTGACATCATAGTCAAGTTAGTTTTTCTATGCAAATTCTCTAACAGATGCATTCTTCCAAGTTTCGTCAAGATCTCGCGCTTCCAGCTCCAGCGCAAGATACGTCCGGGACATCAGCACGTACGCAGCCGAGTGATCCCTGTGATCCAGCAGCAGCTGGATGGACTCAAACGCCACCCTTCCAGCCTCCCAGTTGCTCCACTTCCCGCAAGCGTCCAGCACTGTCATCCATAGCTTCAAGTCGGGTGCCACGGGGATGCTGGTCACCACCGCCAGAGCTTCGTCCACCTGGTTGGCCCGCCCGAGAAGATCCACCGCGCAGCTGTAGTGCTCGATGCTGGGCACGATGGCGTAGTCCGAGACCATGAGCCGGAACAACTCCTTCCCCTTGTCCACCAGCCCGGCATGGCAGCACGCCGTCAGCAGCGAGAGGAAAGTCACACCGTCCGGCTGCCAGTGATCTTCCAGCATCCGCTCAAAGAGCCTGAGAGCCGAGGCTACGTCTCCCTGGTGGCAGTAGCCAGCGATGATCGCGTTCCAGGTCACGGCGTCGCGTCCCGCGCTGGCTGCCGAGTCGAAAACTTTGCAAGCTTCCGCCATGCAGCCGCACCGTCCGTAGAAGCCCAGCAGAGAATTCACGACGACCACCTCGGCTTCCATCTCGGCGTGACGGATCTGCTGGTGGATGGCCCTTCCGGTCTCCAGAGCCGTGGAGCTCCCGCAGGCCCGGAGCGCGGCGGCGTAAGTTGGAGCGTCGGGTACCAGGCCTTGGACTTGCTGCATCCGCGAGAAGAGATCCAGCGCAGCCGGTGCTTGCTCCGCCTGGACGTATCCGAGCATCAGCGTCGTCCACGAGACAACGTCGTGCCTCTCCATCCGGTCGAAGACTCTCCGCGCGTCCACCAGGCTCCCACACTTGCAGTACAAGCCCACCAGCGTGCTCGCCACCAGGACGTCCGACTCGCAGCCGCTCTTGGAGATCTGGGAGTGAATCGCCGCAGCTAGTTCCAGGCAGCGGCCGGGTGCTTCTCTGGAAGCCAGGCTCATGCAAGCGTTGAGCGCCGCAGCGTACGTGAGAGCGTTCGGAGTGTATCCTTCCTCGTGCATCCGGGAGAGAAGCCCCAGCGCCGCCTGCTCGTCGCCACTTAAAGCGTAGCCGAGGATGAGCACCGTCCAGCACACCGAGTCTCTGTGCGGCATCCGGTCGAAGACTCGCTGCGCGTCCGCCATGCTGCCGCACTTGGAGTACATGTCAACCAGCGCGCTCGCCACGAACTTGTCCGACTGGAAGCCCGCTCTCGCCAGCCGCGAGTGCGTCTCGAGGCCTCTCTCCAGGCACGCCAGCTTCACGGGACGCTGCTCGACTAGCTCGGCTTCTTCCCTGTCCGCCAGGCTCGCAACTGCGTTCACGGCCGCGAGATACGTCCGAGCGTCCGGCACGAAGCCTCGGTCGCGCATCACCTCCAACAGCGTCAGCGCCGTCTCGGGCTCGCCACCTTGGACGTACCCCGTGATCATCGAGTTCCAGGAGACGATGGTGTGCCGGGGCATTCGATCGAAGACGCGCCGAGCGTTGTCCAGGCTCCCACACTTGGCGTACATGTCGACGAGCGAGTTTGCGACGAAGGTGTTCTCCAGCTCGTGCCGTCCAGCCTGCGAGTGGATGCTCACGCCTTTAGCAAGTGACACCGGCTTTACAACTTTGCGACCAACGAGCGTACCTTCTTCGCGAGCGGCCAGCAGCGCACAGGCATTGATCACCGCGATGAACGTCAGCGCGTCCGGCTCGAGTCCCTCGTCCCGCATTCTCGAAAACATGGCGAGAGCCACCGCGCCATCGCCACTCTGACCGTAGCCGGCGATGAGAGTGTTCCACGACACCAAGCTCCGCCTCCTCATGCCGTCGAAGACTTTGCGAGCGTCCGCCATTCTTCCCAGCTTGGAGTACATATCCATGACGCTGTTCGCGAGATACGTGTTGGAGGCGACCAGTCCCAGCTTCTCGAGCTCGCCGTGGATCGCCATAGCTCTGCTCAAGCCCGCCATCCTCGACGCTCCTCCCATCAGACTCATGCAAGCCTTGAAAGCCGCCACAAAAGTTCTCGAGTCTGGGAGGGTTCCTTCGTGCTGCATCCTCGCAAAGAGCTCCAGGGCCTCGCAACCAGCGCCAGCCTGCGCGTATCCCATGATGATCGCGTTCCAGGCGACCGTGTTCCTGGCAGCCATCCTCTCGAACACCGCTCGCGAGCTCGCCATGCTTCCACACTTGGCGTACATGTCCACCAGCGTGCTCGCCACGAAGATGTCTTCTTCCAGTCCGAGCTTTTGGAGCTGAGAGTGGAGAGCCATGCCTCCCTCCAAACTCTTCTTGGTCGTCTTGGCGGTGTCCTTGATTCTTCGCGCTGGATAGTTTGCAAAGCTGGCGGTGGCGGCGGTGGCGGCGGCGGTGGTGGTGGTGCCGTGCTTCTCTTTCTCCGCTAGAATGGCACAAGCTTTAAGAGCAGCGATGAAGCAGCGAGCATCCGGGCGGAGGCCACGGTCTTCCATGCGAGAGAAAAATTCCAGCGCTAGCTCGCCATGTCCACTGTGAGCACAAGCCATGACCATGGAGCTCCAGCAAGCCAAGCTGGGACGCTGGATCGCGTCGAAAACCTCCCGGGCCCGTGCTACACTGCCGCATCGCCCATACATCTCCACCAAGCTGCTGGCCAAGGAGGGATCGTCGATCATCGCGCTGGCGCGGAGGTCGCCGTGAATCCTGTCGCCCGTGAGGAGATCCCTGGAGCTGCTGCACGCCTTGATCGCCGCAATGTAGCCGGGAATCGTCGGTGCCAGCCGGATTTTCTCGTAGAAATCCCGCGCCTCTGCTGATATTCCAGTGCCACGAGCATTTTCGATTTGGGCGCCGCCGGATCCATGGCTACGATGCAAGATGACAAACCTTGTGCACTGCATTGGTTGTGCCATCACCGGTCTTCCCTGGCGATCGCGCCATCGCCAGGGAAGACGCATCCTCTCCAAGCATCCTCGTGGATGCTTACAAAATAAGAATTTTAGGGCTCTTGGGAGATACTAATGTTGAGGCAAGTCTCGACTTTGGGAGCGAGGCCACTGCGTCGAGCGAGCGAATGGAGAGGAATTGGTCCAAATTCTTCCAGGAAGAAATTCTTTGGTATGATTCATCGCTACATGACATTCTAATCCACGATTTCTTTCCCAGCCCTCTCTTCTTATTCTGGCAACCCCCATACTACCAGTGATCAATGGGAGCTTAAAATGTTGTATGATGGGGAGTGTCCTCTTTGTCTCCGAGAGGTTTTTATCGTTCTTTTGGCTGGCATCGTTTTGATTCTTTGCATATGATCACCGTAGGTGGACATGCTGCGCAAGAGAAACACACAATACCAATCCATCAAATTTGTGGATATCAGTGCTGACGAGTACTCCCCACATCAAAATGCTGGAATCGACTACGAAGCTGTAACTTCTCTTCATGATTTTCATTTTCCTTCTTTGAGATCACGAGATCTCTATCTTGGTGATAGTTATCTATCTATTTTCACAGGCAATGGGGAGAGTTCATGTGATTTCCAATGACGGCAAGGTGTTCACTAACGTCGAGGTATTGCGTTTAAAAAAAAAATTCTTCGTTTTGAATCTCTTTTGCAGGCTTTTAAGAAATTATATGAGGCTGTGGGACTTGGATGGGTTTATGCAATCACGAACTACGAACCTGTAAGTTCAGTGGTTTCTATCTTTTTAACCTTGTTACGTACTACGACTGAAATTTTTTTGCAAGTTCTCAACCATTGCAAATGCATTGTACAATGTGTGGGCAAAGTACAGGCTTCCAATTACAGGTATTGTAAAGCTTTTTCAAATTTATTGTCTTTGATTTGGTTTAATCCAGGCAGACCACCTCTAGACGAGGTTCTCAAGAACAAAAACAACTCACTGAATTGCGACAAGAATTGTAAGAAGTGATTAGTTTAGACCTGTTCTTTAATGTATGATCTGAAATGCCCTATTAGCTAAAACATAACATAAATTACTAGTTGGAAAACAAGAAGTTAAAAGCAAGCATAACTGGGAAACATTTTTTTCCTTTATCTAAAATATTTAGTAATTACATTATAGACCAAATTTGAGCTTCTATTGGACAATGACCATCATTAAACATTACCAACACTAAATCACCTTGGTAATAGTGAAGTGATGAGTTGTTTTATGAGCAATCAAGTATATGTATCAGTGATTTGTTTTAGATCAGAATATGTCCAACCTTGAGATAAAAAAAAGTTTTTATAAATTTTGAGTTATGAGGGCCAAGTGTACAACTACAATGCTGTATATTAATATTAGCGTAATGGGATTTTAATAGCCGTCGGATTGATTTCAATCTGGACCACTCGCTCTTGTATATAAGTTAGGGTTTTTGCGCTAATTGATATGTACATTTCTATATTCCTTTTCCATATTCTAAGTAGTCACATTTGTGGAGATGAAGGGCACTTTTGATTGTCCCTAAGGAGTGTTTGGATTTAGGATTTTGGTTTAGATCTAACTTTTACATTGTCTAAATCTAGTTTTTTCCATTTCCTTTCTTTTGTTCTTTCCTTTCAAGATTTTGGTTTAGATTTAACTTTTTGCATTATCTAGATCTATCATTTCCTTTTAACTTTTTTGTCATTTCTCTTCTTTTGCTCTTTCTTTTTCATTTGTCTTCATGGCAGATTAGCAATCTCCTCTTTTGACTTTGGAGCAGCAATTGGTACAATTGCTTGATGTTATGTGCTTGCAATTGAACAACCAAACTCAGTTGATGGTGGCACTCACAACACATGGTATAGCTCCTCTTGCTCTTGGTGCTAATCCTTGCGTTTGGCCGGAGTTTTTTCGCGGGAATCCTGGGGATGATATGTACCATCGGTTCGATCACTTCACGGTGATTGCCACATATTTGTGAGACACAAAATCCCTAGGCCCCAAAGTGGAGCCGGAAGGGTGCCATGTGGTAGTGGCTGAAGCGAAAGCCAAACGAGCGTAACACGTTTAGACTAAAAGCTCCAACTTGGAAGGTTGAGAGCGGGAGGGGAACTCCCAACAAAGTGCTTGAGGAACAAGCATGAAGCGAGCAATAAGCGAGGCTCCAAAAAGGGACCCGAGATGGAGTCCGAGATGGAGTCCGAGATGGAGTCCGATGTGGACCGAGACGGAGTCCGAGATGGACCCGAGATGGAGTCCGAGATGGACCCGAGATGGAGTCCGAGATGGAGTCCGAGGTGGACCGAGACGGAGTCCGAGATGGACCCGAGATGGAGTCTGAGATGGACCGAGACGGATTCCGAGATGGAGTCCGAGATGGACCGAGACGGAGTCCGAGATGGAGTCCGAGATGGAGTCCGAGAAGGACCCGAGATGGAGTCCGAGGTTGAAACCGAGACCGGGACCGAGACCGAGACCGGGACCGGGACCGGGACCGAGACCGCGACCGAGGCCAAGGCTAAGACCGAGCCCGAGTCCGAGTCCGAGTCTGAGTCCGAGTCTGAGTCCGAGTCCGAGTCCGAGTTCGAGTTTGAGAGGGTGAAAGCCCAAAGCGTTCGTCTCCTAGACCCTGGGGGGTTTGGTGAGCTCCAAAAGTATAGTAAGGGGGAAGACTGCAGTGGAGCCAGTTTGGCCAGGAAAAGCCAGTTTGGCCCAGGAAGGCCAGACCCAGTGTTGGGTGATGAGCTGACCACTGGGAAGTCCAAGACTAGAGTGAACATGGACCGACAAGTGGGGTAGTTTGGTGAAGTGTTCAAGAGCCGGCTCTAGTTCGCCCGGGAGATCGACTGGCCGATGCTCCCAGTCCAAGTGTGGGTGGCACTACCTACTTGGATACCAGGCATGGCTCAACGGAACCTTGCTCTAAGCCCATGGCTAGAGCACCTAAAGGCGAAAGGCGGGGAGAGTATCCAGGTGGCTCGCGTAAGGCCACGGTGTTCCGAAATGTTGTCCCAAAGGCCCAGACTGTGGAAAGGAAGAGGAGCAGTCCTCTGGGGTAGTGACCAAGGACACAGTCGTGTGGTGAGGAAGTCCCAGAGGACCGTGGGACTTAGTGGTCGGGCCGGTGGGCCTCAATTCAGTGGTAGTGTTGGTGAACACGGCCGTGGGCAGAAAGGGACTTAGTGGGGACTGACAGAGGGATATTGGGGAAGGCTATTCCCCATGTCTGGGGGCATCCTAAGGATGCTAAGGAGTGGATCTGGGATGATCACTCATGGACGGATGGCCCAGCCTTGGAGAGACGAGATTGCAATGCAGGTGGTGTTAAACCACCGATGTGACCAAGGTGAATGGGCGTGGCCTAACGTAACAGGCTCATATATCGGTGGTACCTTGGGGTGTCGGTCATGGGATCGGACACGTGGAGCACTTGGACCAAGTGCAAAGGTTGAGTGGCATGGATGCCATTCTTGGGGCTAGCAAGCCCCAAGTCCTGAATGGGACTTATGGAGGTTGTGAATGAGACTCCTCCAAGTGGTCGGAGGTGTGGTTAGGTGACTAAAGTAGAATGGAAAAATTAGTCGCTTACAACTTGGTATCTGAGTTGTTCCTTAGTCTGACTTTTATTGGTGCTCAAGTATATCACCATTGATGTTGGCATTGGAAGGTCCTAGGAGGGGGCCTATCCTTGAGGAGTAGCATGTCGAGAGGACATGGCTCTCCACTCAAGTTCATGCGTGAACTTGGGCACGATGTGGTGGATAGAAAAGGGCCAATAATAGAACGACTTTGGGATTTTGGGAACAGTATAAGGTTTCCTCAGAGAGCTGAGGATGTGATCCAGATGAGCGTTTGACGCAGCAAACGGGCTAATGTAGTTGTGGTAAACAACTATAATTGGGATCACGGGAAAGATGTAGACTCCAAAATAATAAAGGAGTCACAAGATTACCCTCATATAGTTGAGGCCGGTGCTCATAACTTTGAGACCGGAATTGATGATCATGGGAGGTCAAATATAGGAGAGGACACAAGTCCTTGAAATGGTAGCTGAGGTTACCCTTGATAAATGCTGGAACAACCCAAGGAGTTGGGGATGTACTTAGAGGATGAGTTGGTATTCTCATCACATGGACAAATGGTCCTAAGAGGAAAAAGGTTGCCCCAAGAGAACAAATCAAGTGTCGGAGTAACACTTGCAAAGATGGTCCTTGTGAGTAAGACCTGAATACAAGAAGTTGTATTCTAGTGAGCTGGCACCTCAAAGGTAGGACCTTATGGGTCGTCGGATGACAAAGTCCAAAAAGCTGGATGACTCCAATAGAGTCAAGGAATAATCCTAAAGGATTGATGGAAGCATTTGGACTGAGTGGTACCCCACGAAGGATGGGGGGGGATCATAGGATCCAAGGATGAGAACAGAGGGTATCTCATCGATGGCAAAATGTGCCATGCTAAAGTCGTGGGAAAGGTGTTCCCAAAAGAAAACAACTTTGATACAAAGTTGTGTGTGACCTCTATGGTGCAGTGCTAATGGATGGTTGGCATAAGAAAGAGTAGTATTGGTCTTAGCAAAGACTTAAACACAAAGAAGAAGTGTCATAGAGGTAGGCTCGTGGAGCCGATGGTGTGGAGACACCAAATGTGCCAAGGTGTGATACCTTGAGGATATGTTGGTGGGTTCATGAGAACCCCTTGCCAAAGGAATCCCAATGGAAATGGGAATGGCATAGCCTAAGTTGCAGAGCATGCAGTTGGAGTGTGGTGACCCAGATAATGATGGAGGTGTGGAAGCACCAGCAATGAGTTATAAGACTTGACAACTATGAGGCAACTAAGTAAGAGGTGCAAAATAATTGGTTAAACGGGTAGAAGGTAGCTACCCAAGCCTTCTTAATGGCATAAAGAAGTTGGATATACCCTTACAGGGGATAAGTTGCTTATGTTGCGATATGGTAAGTCAATATCATGAAAGGAAATACTCATTGTCAAGGAAGCCGTCATTGGGACATCCGAACACTCTAGAACACCAGGAGGTGGTGTTTGATGTCGC